ATATATATATATATATATATTCTCATACTTTGACAATCCTATCATATAGTACTATTTTATACTATCATTCATATGTGGTTTTGATCCCTATTCATTAAAATTTTTTTACAATTTAAAATTTTTTATGACTAGGGATATTATAGGAAAGAATTTTAATAAGTAGAGATTAAAATATGATACATATGAATAATAACATAAAATAACAACATAATATGATTGTCTAAATATAAATATATAAAAAAATATTTTGTAAAATTTCATATACTGTAAACAAATTTATAACTCTAGTGACCTAATTACATAAATGTAAACAAATTTTTCTTTCTTTTTTCCCTTTTTTTGGGTCAGTTAATATCTTAGAGTACTTTTGTAGGTTTTATTGAGTTTGTGTAAAGGGATTAAATATTTGACAATTTGGGATCTAAGATCGTGTGGTAAAGCATAGTGATGAAGCTCGTCTTTTTATTGAATAAACAAGTAAAATGAGTTAGGTCTTTTGCATCAATCATTTAATGCGCAAAGGACAAAGTGATTGTTGTCAACTATCGATTTACAATTAAGGTTTTTCATAGAGTATATCTACCGAAAACATAATCGTATATTTGTACATTTATTCCAAGATTTCATGGTTACGGGCTCGATGTTGGAAAAAGCCATTCACGCCAAGGTTGATAGTCATTTAAAATTCTGACCTTAAGACACTTTTCACATCAAGATTGATAGTCATTTAAATTCCAACCTTAAGATGCTCTTCACACCAAGATTGATAGTCATTAAAATTTTGACCTTAAGACACTCTTTACGCCAAGGTTTGTAGACATCAAAATTTTGACCTTGAGATGCTTTTCACACAAAGGTTTCTAGTTGCTTAAATTGAATTTGTAGACATAATAACTGGAATGCGGTAGTTTTATTATTGTACAAATAAAAAAATAACTTGCATCAATGACCGATATGAAATCGATACTTACATTATTGGAAAGGAAAAATAGTACTAGAAAAATAAATCAATGAGAAATTCAATAATAGTAGAATTGTAGGTTCATCGCATTTTATGTTTTGGGGACATTTTTCCACTATTAAGTGCTTGAAGCTTGTATGCGCCATTATTGAATGGTTGTTCAACCTAGTAACTCCAATCTATTTTGGGGAAAGTTTGTTTGAGAATTGATATTGTTGAGCCTTTTTTAACACTAGATCCCCTTTCTTGAAAAATCTTGGCAATACTTAAGAGTTGTACTTTCTTTTTGTTCGAATTTTAGCTATTACTTCCTTAATGTATGCTACTTATTGTATTTCCCCGAAAGTGTCTAAGTCAATTTTTATTTCTTCCTCTGAACCTTTATCATCCTCCCTTCTCTCATACTATCTACATAGCACCTCCTAGATACCTTTTCATCAACTACAACCATGCTTACATCGTTTCCCTCTAAAGGATACTTCATTTTAAGATATGGTGTCAACACCATTACCTTTAACTTTTTAAAAAAGGGAAACCAAGCAACATGTTATAAGATGAGGGAGAATTGACGACTAAGTATTTTACTGTGATAGATTTCTTTGAATGACCATCTCTAAAGGTTGTTTTCAATTCCATATAACCCTTTATTTCTACTTCGTCTCTTGTGAAACCCATGAGTACTCCCTCAAATGGTTAAAATCAGTATGACGGAATTGCTAAACCAACAAATGCATCCAAAAATAGTACATTCGTTGAGTTACCTTGGGCTACTAGCACCCTTTTAATGTTTCTGCTCATTATTGTGATACAAATCACCATCAAGTCATCCTCATGGGGAATTACCCCCTATTATCCTCGTTTGAAAATGTATCGGGTTCAATTGGGCAAGCCTCCCACACATTGTCAATAGTAAGAACAAAGTGAGCATACCTCTTTCTTGCTATCGATGTTGAACTGCCACCCACAAATCCTCTTGCAATAGTGTTGAAATCTCCCAACATAGGGTGCTCATGCTTGTCTTTTCTCTAACTAGAGCTCGTTTCCCCTAAGGTCAAATGATATCTACTATCTTGCGGAGTGGTCTACTCTCGCCTTTGGTCTCGTCTCTTAACATAATCCTTCATGTGTCCATTTCTAATAAATTGCTCCATTTGTCTAATAAGAGTGAAACACTCATCTATGTCATGATCGTATACGCAATGAAATTTACATAGCTTCATTTATCCATCTCTAGAATAAGATTTCCTTTTGGCGAAAAACTCAACAACTACGTGACATTCACATTCGATAGGATTTGGCATCGAGAAATGTTCAATGGTGCCAAATTTATTACCTCTCCAAAATTTGAGTTGCCAAATTTGGAGGCACCTTGAAAGTCACAATTTGGCTAGTATTCATTTTTATCCAATTGTTCCTAGCCTTCAAATGTTGGCTTCTAGTAGTAACTTGGTAACTTGCTCCCTCCCTTTTTTTAGTCTCTTTCTTTCAAGCCTCACTCTCTTTCACTTCAATATGACTAGAAACTTTCCCGTGTACTTTTGCCATACTCTCAATTGGTCTATGGACAAGGTATTCTAATAATGTCGTTGACCTAATACCTTTGTTGAATGCCACAACAAACATCTACTCATCTGACTTAGTCACCTTCATAGTGACCTGATTGATTATATTCAGCTACTCTTTTAAAGCCCCCCCTAAAAGTTGGTGTATATCAAGCAAGTCTGCAATTGTTAAAGGTTTTTTCTTGTGTGTCACAAATTGGACAACAAAAAGCCTTGACAAGGCTTTAAAATTGGTTACCAATCTATGTACTAATCAATTAAACCATTTCAACGCATTCGCTATGAATGTACTTATAAACAACTTGGAGTAAGTAGGGTCGAATCCTCTACTAATTAACACGTGGGCACTCGATATGTCATTAGACGTTTGTTAGCATCTTGAGACCCATCAAAAGGCCAGATCCTTGAAACGACCATATGTGTAGCCACCAACTCATGCTCAATGGCCTCTGAAAAGGGTTAAAACACCCTCGATGGTTCTACTCCTTCATCTACATTGCTTTGTTGTAGCGCTCCAATCTAGGCTTGCAATGTCCTTTAAGTTTCCTCTACTCTCTTCCTAAAATCCTCATTCTGGCAGCACATGGGCTCTTGGTCCTCCCGACACCATCATTTTGCTTCCTCCACTCTTATTTGCGCTTCTCCATTACCTCATTGTAAGATTTCTATGATAGCAAAAATTTCCCGCAACATAGGGTCATTATTTATCGCCTCTAGCTCCTTCTTGCACAAATGCTCCGCTTCCTCCATCCTCCTCTTCACTTCCTTGTTCTCTCATAACAATGCCATTATTATAGCCATGATCTCTTGCAACATGGGTTCATTGCTATGGAGATCAATGTCTTTGGCTTCTCTAGTATTTCCATCATCGATACCATTAGAGATATCACTATTACATCCAACTACATTGCTCCTTAGATGCCTCGTCATCATGAACTACTGCTCACGAACGACAACCAAGTTATAGGAAATAATTTTACCTGATTCCCCATGATAGGTGCCAAAACGTCCCGATTATGAGAATGTTACCAAAGAATCCTCAATGAGACCACCACTAAGGAAAACTAGTTACTATCCCAATCTAGAATTTTCAATAAGTGTAACTTGCCTCCCTGGAAAATGTGTCGGTATGTGGAACTGTCACTAAAGAATCCTTAGTGAGATGTCCACTAAGGAAACCTAGTTACTATCCTGACTCAAAACATTCAATGAGTGTAATCTACTTTCCTAGAGCCTACATATATTAGTTTCAAACCTAGACAGGGATCTCTTGATTTTAGCCTTAATCCCATGAATGGTGTCGTGCCTTTAATGTTATTAACGGTCTTTAAATATTAATCATTATGGTTATTATCATAATCATTTTGCAAATCATGAATGTCCAACTAGATTATCTTACATGCCATTAGACAAGTAAATAAAAAATAATTCATTACAGTGTAATATATAGGGGGACAAAGACCATACGAACTAGGTCCAAAATATCGACATTATTCTGACATATCATAAGTATTGAACCCTTGACCCAAGCATAAAAGTGCAAACAGGCTAAATATTGTAATATTCTTTATTGGTATGAATAGTTAATCAAAGAGAGACTAGTATGACACAATTAGTGTCATACTAATCGACTCTAATAATAAAATATTTAATTTTAAAAATGAATATTTAGTGACAATTAAGATAATACAAACAATTTTCTTTTATATATATAATTTTAGTAGCTTGAAGTTAAAAAATTACTTAAAATGGACAGAAATATTTTGTAGTATTTTAGCAACGGCCAACCGATGCTATTTAGTATCAATATCAAGACTGACAATTACTTCCTGACACTATTTTTTTTAGTCCAGAGTTATTTTATCTCAAAAGACAATAATATTTTAAAAATAAATTAACCCGATTATTTATTAGTTATATATGCTAAACCTTGTTAGGAGTAACTTGCGACTAACCGTTCTAGTAAAAGCAATGTGGCTGGTCGTCAAATGTTTGATTGATGCATAATTCAAACTAAATCAATTGCTTTTTCAATTTGCGTGATTAAAAAAATATAACCCTATAGTCAGAGAGTCAAGAAACTCACTCACCTATTCATATTTAAGTAAATGGCTATAGACATAGAATGAGCTGGTTTCTACTATAGCATCTCTGTCAAAGGAATCCAAGAGTGGGGAAAAAGAAGACAATAAAGCAAATTTAAAGTTTGCTCTGTGTGGACAAAAGAAACTTTTTCCTGCCCAATCTCATTCTTGTGCACTTATTTTATTCTTTATATATAATTATACACTCTAGTACATTTATTTCCCTTCTGCTTCTTATCTGCGGAGCACTTCTCCCACAAATGGCTAGAGTAGCAGGAATTTTCCTGTGTCTCCTGATTTTAATCATGGATGTTGCAGCTGGGATTCTTGGCTTCGAGGCTGAAATAGCACAAAACAAGGTATGCTTCAAGCTGTAGCTCTACTTCTGAAGTGAATTTTTTTTAACAAATGTGTACAAAGACAACTTTAATGATGTGAAATCTATGTCAACAATCTCTCATTGTTGTTTTCAACAAACAGGTTAAGCACTTAAAATTGTGGATATTTGAGTGTAGAGAGCCAAGTCATCAAGCCTTCATGTTGGGGTTGGGTGCAGCAGTGCTTTTGGGACTAGCTCATGCTATAGCCAACTTGCTTGGGGGCTGCAATTGCATTTGTTCTCAACAAGAGTTTGAGAAGGCTTCCTCCAATAGACAAATCTCAACAGCTTGCCTTATTTTAACTTGGTAATGTATATATTTTTCTTTTATATACATCAAAAATCTTACATGATTAAAATAATGTATATAAAATGATAATCTCACAATCTTTAACCACAAAATTTAGCTATTAGGTTGAGATTACACGTGAACTTATATATATTATATTTACCATTTTACTATGGCATTGTGCAAACTAAAGAACACTAACATTAAATCATTAGGTTAGTATAGTAGTTAGAATTGAAATAATATACATATAATCTTAAATCTTAAATTCGAAGATTGTTACTTTAATTATAATTTCCACCGATAAAAACAAAGAAAACCAGCATTGATCATTCACTAATTTTATACTTATTTTTTGTTTTTTTTTTTCTCCTTTTGATTGTGTTGTTGATCAGGGTTGTGTTGGCCATTGGAATGTCCATGCTGGTGATAGGGACCATGTCAAACAATAGGTCAGATGGATCCTGTGGTTTCTCACACCATCACTTCCTGTCCATTGGTGGGATCTGTTGTTTTGTTCATGGCCTATTCTCTATTGCATATTACGTTTCTGCCACTGCCTCAATGGATTAATTAGTGAGTAAGAAAAGCATCTTAGTGAGTAAGAAAATGCTTTAGTGCTTTTGGAGCTTTCCCAAAATGTTGCTTTGCAAAATGTGTAGAAAGAAGACTTTTCATGCTTCTTGTACTAGAAAAGGGAAACATGAGACCCTTTTTCAGATGACCAAACTACCCTCTCCAATGACTTGTATCATTATCATAGTTTAGTTTATATAATTAAGTTGTTTTTATTTAGCCCATAGGCCATTGCCATTGAATTTGATGTCACACTGCCTTAGATAAATTAATCAGAAATTAGTTAGTTGCTATATGGATTTTTTTTTGAAGCTAGCAGCATAGATCTTTTTAATTCTACTTTTTTATAGAGCTTTAATTTTACTTCTGAAGTTATATTATTTTATTCTTCGTCTTCACAAACTCACAATTCACAATACTAATCCAACAAGTTGTTAAAAAAATCATAAATTAAAATTGTTGTTTTAATTGACATTTATTTTAGGAAAAAAGACGATTCTTTTCCCTGCAATTAATATTAGATATAGGAGACGGGATTCTTGTTTAAAATCCTCTAATTAAAAAAAAAAAAAAAAAAAAAAACTTCCTCTGAAAATAGTTGGACTTTCCAATTAAAAGCCGCATAAACATGTCTTATAATTTTTTTGGCACCACCATGACGTCGTCTCAGCATAACAACATTGTTTAAGGTCACGATTGGTACAAAGAATCTTTTGTCCCCAATTAAATTACTTTTCTCAACACAAGACTCTTGAGAATAGGATTCTTTATTTTTTTTTTATAAAAAAATTATCATTATTTTTTAAAATAATAATTTTTTCTAGAAATATTAATTTCACACTCAAAATTTTGGAAAATTTGTATTCCTATATACCATAAGAGTATAAGAGAATTACTAAAAAATAATATGACTAAATACTTATTTTGGTCCCTTATAATCTTTTTTTTTTCAATGTAGTCTCACTTTTATTTTTTGTCTCAATTTGGTCCAAAACTAATTAATTGGTTTCAATTTAGTCCCTAATAAATTAATTGGTTTCAATGTGGGACTTTCGTCCAAATTTCTTTAACGGAGTTAACTATTGTATGGGTGGATGCCACGTGGATGCATAGGTGGATGCTACGTAGATGGATGACAATTTTTTGAAAACACCTGAAACCAGAACGGCCCGTTCTGAATCCAGAACTGGCCGTTCTGGTTGCACTTTTATTGTGTTAACTTTGCATCCGGAACGGCCCGTTCCAGGTGCAAAATTAACACACTAAAAGTGCAACCAGAACGGTCCGTTCAGGTTTCAGAACGGACCGTTCTGGTTCCAGACTGCTAAATTATAGTTCACGGTTGTGAATCATGGAAGGAAAAAGACCCAAGGTACAAGGCATTTCAAACACTGAATTTGGTAATATTGTCAATGGAAATTGATAACTTCAATTGCTAAACAGTTAGGCTATACAATGTATTATTAAGGACAATGCAATGTATCACTAAAGGATGAACCACTTACTACCAAATTGACACTATACAGTAAAGGATGAAATGACACTATATTGTCAATGAAATGACACTATAGTAAATGATGAAATGACATTATTAATTATATTTTAATTATGCTGTTATATCTAATATAATAAATATATTAATATTTTTTTTAATATTTTATTTTATTGTTTAATTGTTTTTTATTTTGTGGTAAAATTATTTTCATTTTTAATGAAGAAAAAATTTACTTACTTCAATAGTAAGTCTTGATAGATTTATTCTATTTAATAATTAATGTTCTATATCAAATTTTACTTACTTCAATTGTATTTTATAAAAATAAGTAATTTTAAAATTTTTACCATAAAAAAATATTTTTTAAAATTATTACATTTTTTAATAAAATTAATAAATAATATTCTATTCTCAGTTTTGGAACGGGCCGTTCTGAGGTGTTTTCAAAAAAAATTTCATCCACGTGGCATCCACCTATGCATCTAGGTGGCATCCACGTGGCCAATATTTAACTCCGTTAAAGAAATTTGGACGGAAGTCCCACATTGAAACCAATTAATTTATTTGGGACCAAATTGAAAGCAGTTAATTAGTTTGGGACCAAATTGAGACAAAAAATAAAAACGGGACTACATTGAAACAAAAAAAGATTATAAGGGACCAAAATAGGTATTTAGCCAAATAATATTTATTCTTCATAATCCCATTCCATGATTCTCGATTTGGCCACGATTTCATGGAACTTCTAACAGCAGGTAAGATACCCCTGTTAAATACAATTTGTCAATTAACTGAACTGTTCCAATGGCCTAGAATCATTTTGTTCGTTATTATAAACCGAACAAATAATCGTATATAGAGCAACTCTTATTTAGAAACAAGGAGGAACGGGAAAAGGACAGAGAACAAAATGTTTCATTGGTGCCACTCTTTTAATTTAGATTTTGATAATAAAAATCTAAAAAAGGAAAAAGAAATCAGAGGTGCCACAAACAACTATAGACCCGAATGCCTTTTCTCAGCATGTTTGTTTCTAAACGACATTCATTAATATCACTTATTAGTGACCTTATCTGTATTTTAATTCATTGTTGGCATATTCTTAGCCGAAGTTAACCTTGGTGAGATTCCTCGATCATAGAAAGTTAGAAACCATGGATTCAAATTAGTTCCTTTACTTTACACCAATATTTTCTCTTTATTAAATTGAAATTTGACACCTCGCCCCAAAATTTGTCTTGAGGGCATATTACTCTAATCTCAGTTACTTAAGTCAACTACAATGATTCACATATATTAATATATACACATATATTTTAAAGTTATTAATAATTTAATTAAAATATACTATTTATTTATTATTTAACGATTGTTTGTTATTTAAATGTATTATGTTGAAACTATGATGAATAATAAAATATAAAAAGTAAATATAATGTGGGTTTCATTAAGAAACTTTAATGATTTATTGGTTGAAATTTTTAGAATAAATTAGTTAAAATAAGAAAGATAAAATGACCTATATAATAAGAAATTGTGAAATATTATAAAATATACAGTAAAAAAATTGTTGAGTTACTACGTCATTATGCCATCTTCCATGAGAGATTGAGAGATTCTTATATAGGTTTATTATTAAAGTGAGAATCGATTTTTGTATAATAGGGTGCAATGATATGTCTTTATGTGTGAAATGGATTTTATATATAATAACTCATAAGAACTGAATTCTTGAAGAAAATAGAAAGAAAATGTTCAAAACTTATATAAATTGAATTAATAATTGAAGTTAAATTTTCTTATTAGAACAAAAAAAAATAGAAAAGTTCTTAAATCTTACATGACATTGAAGAATCCATAAAAAAATGGAACTAAAAATATATTCTACTATTTAAATACTTTTAGTAATTGATTTGGTTTGGCTGACATGTCAAGTTTTTAATTAAATAAAGGTGAAATTATTTTGTTTGTCTTATAATTTCATAAACTTTAATTTTATTCACTATAAATAAAAATGTTTAATTTTAATCTCTATATTTATTATTTTTGTCTCTTTATTTCTTACAGTTATATAAACTTCATCTTGTAATCTCTATAAAAAAGGGGGGGGGGGGGATAATGACTTAAAAAAGACAAAAATGATATATATGTATAGAAAATAAAATGAAACATTTTTAAACATAAATATAAAATTTATGAAACTAAAAGGTAATTAAATATTAAGTAAATAAATAACAATATATACATGCATACATGCAATGTGACATGTGAATTGATTTCATCAACTATCACTCTTCCTCATTTTTGTTCAAAGTTCCAACACCAACCCAATACAAATAATCAATTAAATCAGTGGGCAGAAAAACAAGACAACAAATTCACATCAGCTACCCCCTTGGCAATCTTGTTGGATTCCAGGTACAACTTAAATAAGAAACTCAAGTTTGAACTTTGAAGAGGAACACCATACTAAACATTCATCACGAGTCCACCCGGAAATGCTTCGATAAAACACGTCCTTCACAAAATCAGCTGCAATTTATATAACAAGCATGAAATTCATTACCAAGTCAGGCTTCTGATTTCTTCAACTTTGCATGCAGCCCCTCTTGCCATATGTGAGAAGTAGTACAACAACAACGACAACATCATGCTTTCTAGTGAAAATCCCACTTACTTAACCACATAATCAATTCACCCATCTCCCTTACCCATCCCTCAAATTGAAAAATACCACCTCAACACCAACAAATCCTTTAACCAGTGTCATTGTTACAATAAACAAAATCTAGATACAGTTACTTACGTGCATGTCCTTCACGTGTATTGTTCTCTTATCACAATTGGACTTGACTCTTGATCAGTTTAACATCCATATTACATCAACCAACTCTGATAAGAGAAGATATTAATATATATATTTATAATACTGTATCTAAGTTTTGTGAAATGAATTGGAAGCATACCATATGCAGATATATGAAAGCAATGGAAGAGAAATAAAAAGTTGTCAATCGTCGTTGTCATCATCTGAGCTAGAGTAGTCCACTCTCCGCTCTGCAATAGCCGGAAACAGCCTTCTATGGAGGTCAGTAGGCTTCTGCGGCGGCGGAGAGTGGTGGCTATGGGCGTCGGGGGAAGAGGCAACGGAAGCAGCATCGGGGTCCTTCTTGCTGATAGTACTGGCAGCCTTTGCCAACTTGATGGTGGTCTCTCTGACCTCCTGGCACACCTTGTCCAATATGATCAAGAAATCACGAACGATGAGAAACAACCTTAAACCCTCGTCCTTCCCCGCGTTCCCGTGGAAATAATCCGCAGTACTCTTCACCAGCGCCATGATCCTCTTCTCCTCCTCCACCAGCCACGTCACCTCCCCCCTCGCCTTCACCACGAAGCTCTCCGCGCTGCTCCGGAACTCGCTCTCCTCCTCGATGTTCTTCATGTCCGTCTTCAGAAACTCCTCGGTCCTCAGCAGGGAGTGCCCTAGCTTCGACACCGCCGTCGTCAGCGCGTCGCCGTCGATCAGTGCCGCCTTCTTCACGTCGCTGAGCTCGTTGCTGAGGCTCGAGACCGTTTGCAGGCCGAGGCTGCGGTATTGTTCTTCGGTGTCCTCCGTGCCCTCGTCGGAGTCGCTTCCCGCGCTGGAGATGCTTCTGCTCGCTCTCTCGGTGGCTCTCTCGGATCGCACGGCGCGGATTCCCTCCGAGCGGATGATCTCCTGCACCACGAAGTGGAGGAGGGTGGTCTTGCCGTCGGTTCCTTTCACGTCCGACAGCTTCAGGAGGGTGTCCAGGCGGAAGGCTTGTGCGCCACCGCGGTACGTTCCGGAGTTCATGCGGTTGCCGGTTTTCAGAACTGCTTCTAGGAGTTTTAGAAATAGACGGCTTTTTCTCAGCTCGTTGCTCGCAACCTGCATGCCATTCACATGCATTAACTAGATGTGACATATACACTGTTGATATAATATGTTAATTATTAACATGATATATTAATTATACAAACTATTAGAGTAATATACATACGATGAGAAATATTAGTTGTTAACATGATATTGATGTAAACATAAAAGAAGTAGGGAATTATGTGTGAGCATGGATTCTTTTATTAGTCGAGAAGTTTGTCTAAATAAAACCTTATTCAATGGAGCTTCGATCTAACCTCTAATGTGGCAAAGGAGTCCTTAATGCTTTGGAACTCTTCTTGAAGGATAAACATGAACATGAGACATTCAAGACGTTTGAAAGCGAATGGAATGTCAACCAACACTTTGAGAAACCTCTCTGCTGGTCCTAGTTCATGTAGTTGTCCTGTGAATAGCCTAAGCTTCAGTTCCTCTTCTTGTGTAGGTGCCATCTTCAACAACGTCTGGATGAGCTCCACAGGAATCTCGTTACCTGGTTCAAAAACAAATCATGAACACCCTTATGAATCTAACTTCAACATGTGAGTTCTGACACATTCATTGAATAATTATCATAGATTCGTGGTAAAATTATATCATGTCCTAAGAGCATATTAATGAATGTGCAGAGTATGTCAAAGTTATTGGTATCATGATCATGTACATGTCAAATGAACGGCTTATAATGTTAATGACCTTAAAGTGACACATGACCTTAAAATTAGAGGATATAGTAATCTTGGGAATAAACTAATTTGTCAGGAATATCAACAATATGCAAAAGAAAAATACCAATCTGAATATGAAATAGGCTCACATTTTCAATAGAAACGAATAATAACCAGACACTTAAACCCAATTAATAATTAATTGGAGCTAGTCAACTAAACTATTGTCACTAGTCACAGTTGTCACTTGCCCTTTCATATTAGCCATTCCCTAAGAGAAAAAGAGAAAGTTACCTTCTGTAAGAGCATCAACGACTTCTGCTGTAGTCACATTCAGCGCTCTCAAAAGAATTGATAAGTTCTGTGCTTTTCTAGGGTCAATAATCTGAATATAATGCACTGACGTATCTAAAGATGGTGAATCTTTTTTGCGTTCATTCTTGTTCTGGTTGGTGCAGCCAAATAAAGACTCCATCATTTCCTCGTTGATCCTGAGAAGTTGTTACAAAGATAAATCACTGCAAGTTATATCTTACTGGTGAATATGTTCTACTTTGCAAATTCAATGAAATTTTTGGTCTTTGACAAGAGTTAATGTTCTTACACGAATGATCCTGAACTGATCTCATGCCACACCATTGATTGGCCTGGCTTTGCATTAACCTTATCCCAAAAAAATGGCTTTAGTTTTGGTTTTGGAGCAGCATCATTTTCACTTGAACTTCCTTCTTTAGCATGGAGTGGTCCTTGTTTCTTACCTGCCAATGGTTTGGGAGGAGCGGGTGGAGGATGAGCTCCTCCTCTTGGAGGTGGCGGCGCACGAGGAGCAGGAGGCGGTGGCGCCCGTGGAGCCAGTGGTGGTGGTGGTGGTGGTGGTCCAGGGGGTGGAGGGGCAGCTTCTCCATTAGCAGGCTCTGGTGCTTGTCCTACAGCTTCTGATACTGTTGTCTTATCAAGTGAGACATTGTTATCTTCACCCTTATCTCCACCCTTGTTTCCACCCTTGTTTCCATCCTTATTTTCAAACTTCACGGACCAATTTCTAACATTAGAAGGGGTTTTATCATTGTCAGATTCTTCCATGTCAGCATCTCCCAATCGAACAATCTTCTTTGAACCTGAAGAAAAAAAATTAACATGATGGAACCATAGATTGAAGGACCAAGTGTTATGTTTCACAGTCACATGCAACTAGATAATCACACGCAGAACATGGCACTTGAGCTGTTTTAAGAGCCTAGAATTTAAGACTTCAAAGAAGAATTGATTATTCATTGGTTCATCGTATAAAAGAATATGTTCAAAAATGTGGTAGCTTAAGAATTCATTGATTATTCCTATGGTTGATTGTATAAAGGAGGAATGAGAGACATTTAATCAAGAAGAAAGTAAAAAAAAAAAAGATAAATTATGTGGCTAAAGATGTAAATTCAAGTCTTTAAGAAATTGATGTAGCAATTTAAGAGTTACTCATCAAGTTTAATATTTTTTTAACACCATCATCTAATCACAAATTGTTATGTACATTAATTTTGTTCATTTTTATGATAACTACTTTATAAGTTATACTTATCATGATTTTTGATTAATAGTGTAAAACTTTTAATCAAAACTGTAACTTACCACCAGAATAATCATTTGAGGTTAACACGAGCAAAGGGCGGTCTTCTCTGTCACCTTTGTTCTTTCTGGCCTCTCGACAGCAGAGGACCAAGGCTATCAAGACTATAAATCCTGATACAGCGGCAGCTATCATAATTGATTGCTTCTTTTTGTCATCATTGTTTGGTGATGAATGAACAGTTTGCTTCGTTTTGCCATCATCGTTGGGTGGTGAAGGAACAGGAGAATATACTTTAGGTCGAGAACTTTTAGGAGGAGCACGAGGTGGTGGTGGTGGAAATGGCACAAACATATCTGGAGGGAGTAAATCCAGACCTTTGGAAGGAGTTGGTGATGGTGGAGAATTAGATGGTGTTGGACCATGATTTGGTGTTGGTGATGGTTGAGAATTGGATTGTGCTGGACCATGATTTGGTGTTGGTGATTCAGCATTAGAAGGAGTTGGTGCCATTTGATCATGTGGTGAATCAGCAATCAAATTTCTCCCATGACCACTTTCCAGCCCCAAGGTTGATTCAGAGTCCTTTGTCAACAAATATCTAGAGCTACCTTTTTCTGAAACAGGAGCAGGAGTGGTACTCATTCTTATGCAGTCCAAAGTTTTTCTTTTTATATGGAGAGGCAGAGACTTTTTTTCTCTATGTATGCTGTTTTTTTTAGTTTTCACGTCACTGCTCCCTTCCAGCTGATGCAAGTCAATATATTTGGCATCATTGATCCTCTCTATCAATTCTTTCCTACACTGTTTCCATTCATTTTCTACCTGTATCAAGCAAATAAGAGAGTAGCACCATTCAGTATAGTAAGAAAGATTGACTATTATGTTCCATAATTCCTTGTGTCCAGATGCTATAAACTTTACAAAGCCATATATAGTTTCACTTCAAATTTTATATTATCTATCACTCATGATTTGTCCAAAAAGTAAAGTAACATATAGAGGCATGTTATTTTGTTTAATGAATGTATTGACAACAAAGACAATACCATTATCGTAAACATGATTGGATTTGGATCATCTTGCATATTTAGTTTTCGTAGTAAAATAAAATTATATAAACATTCTCATTTCATTTTTACGGTTTTTGAGATATCAGCTACAGCCTATACAATAACGATGAACTTAAAGTGCTTTATTTCTTGTAAAAGTTAACTTTCCAATTTCCATATGAAGTAGCCAGATGTCCATGCAGAGGCAAAATTGTGGTATTTAACAAATTTGAATATTTTGAATTAGAATATGACCTTATACTCCTAACATCATTTACTGAAATATATAACCACAAGCTGAGATTGAGGTGCCCTTTAACCAGAAACATGCATGCACACTTTTCTTAAAATATCGCAGAGTGATACTTTTGTGAAATACTTTTATTTAGTCATGCAATTCAAGTGAATGGATTTCTTAGTTCTTGAACCTGATCGGTGTATTTGTTGTCTTCCTTCTTGAAAAATAAAGATGGAAAGCCTCGATATATGCTTTCATAAACAGTAACATAGTAATAGGTAATTAAAGCAGGTTTAACAAAATTCACAATGAAGTGATCATGGACCCTGTGTTGGATATACAAACAGGTAGTTCGCATGCCCGATTCAGATTAATATAGTTTAAGATCTAGAAGCAGGGGAAGTTCAGCATAGCCACAATACGAAAACACATAGAATTATCAACCAGAAACATGATCAATAATTAGAATTTGTTTATATACAAGCTTATAAAGGTTTTTGCTGAAAAACACTTTAATTTTTATTAAAAAAAACTTTTAAAAGACCTTTTAAATCTGTATTCAAGCATATACTTAACCAATTATCATCAAACTAAGCAAGAACATGACAAGCTAATTCAAAATAACAAAACTTAGATACAACTCTTTATATATATTTTGATGCTATATTTCAATTAAAATTGAAGTTTTATCCGAGAATATGTATAATAAAGCTTTGCAATAAAGATTAGCATAAGTTGCAATGGCAATGCTCCAATTTTGATTGAAAATCATCCCTAAAAACCATTAAGGAACTACATCTAAATTTTTCGATTCAAAACCACAATTTTGGTAACAAATTAAAAAGGGACATTAAATATATATTCAGAATAGAAAGAAGAATATCCTCGTGAACAAACTGAAAACCATCTGAGAAATTCCAAAGAAGAAGGGACAAAAGTACTGATACCTTTATTCCATGCACATAAATGGATGATGATAAAGCTCCACCATCTCTAAAATGCTCCTCTTCTTTCCCCTCTTTCCCCTCTGAGCCCCCTTGGGCCAACGCACAAAGGAGAATGACATAAACAACAGCATAACTGGGTCTCGTCAATTCCATTATAACTTCCAACTTCACCAACCCAAACGCACAATTCTCGTCTCATCTCTCATTGAATTTGAAAATTCCTCCAAAGTCTAAATCTAATTCCAGAAAGAGAGACACACAAAACAGGTCTTGCACCTTGTCAAAGAGCCTCTATGTATAGCTTCCAAATAAATGAATAATAAATATATCACCAATATTGATGATATCCAAACTTCGCTGATCGCTCAAATTTTTCACAACCCCACGAAGGGACGTGACAATATAATCAGAGAGAACGAGAATATGTCAAAATTCAATGAAGCTGAACAATGGGTTGATATTTGATAAGATACATATACGTATATATATAATGCAACGTTGTGGAAGAACCAATCAAATGAACGTTACGTACTTGAGAGCACAACTCAATTCATGCAAGTGTTGAAAATCTACGTTGAGATTTTTTTCTTTTTTTTCTTTTTTGCGTTTTTTTTTTGAAATGTTATTGAATTGTAATACCAGTACAAGAATTTGCTCCGCTGGGAATTTTGATCATTGGAAGGTTTTTTCTTGTGCTGGGTGGGAGGGGGCGTCAGAGGAGAGAGAAAGACAACGATGCATAGAAAGTCCTAATAGGGACGTGGGGAGAACATTGTGGGACACCCATGAACCATAATGTCATGTCTAGGATCAACGTTTTTTCACTAATCTGTTATTAAAATCTGGTTCAACTAATTTTAATTTCTTTGCTAAAATATTTATGACTATGAATCAATTTTTATAGAGACTTAAAACATATGTTATAATTTTAAGTAGTTATAGTTATTACAAAAATTAACAATGTATGATTAACTATAATTAGAAGGTTGTTAAACATTTTAGTTAGATTTTTATGAAAATGGGTCAGGTTCATCTCCGCATAAACATTTCTGTTTTAAAAAGAATTGACTGCATGTGAGATAATTCTAACTAATATTTTAAATGTTTATTATATATAATTAAAATTTGAAATAAGTTATGTGTATAAATAATATTATATTTAAATATATAAATTATATATAAAATATGAATAAATAGATATTTTTAAATATTTATTAATTTTAAAATTTATAATGAATAACTTATATTGTAACACAAAATTATTTTTATTTATTGATGATTTATTTTTAAAATATTAAAATTTAATTTATCAATAAAAATTAAATTAGATACAAATTAATTTTTTTTTAAATTCTCTTACAAAATGTTCTAGAATACTTTAACATAAAATAGTGTGTTATATATAAGAGTTAATTGCACTTATATACAAGACATATTATAGAGAAAACAAAAAGAAAGTTAATTTATATTTATCATATAAGATGTTATTTTAAAATATTAAATCTATAACAATAATAGATAAAAGAGATATTATTTCTCTCAATTCATTTTAATTTTCATTTTTAATGGAACTATTTTATTTTTTAAATTAATTTTTCATTAAATAACTGTACATTAAATAATAATTTTTAATAAAACGTACCCGCCGGTATCGATAAAAAGTTAGCGAAGATTATTTTAAGAGTTGAAAATACGCGTACAACTAAATTGAATTACCAAAAGAGATGAAGTTTCGCTTAAAATAATTTGGTACACAAAACGTCAATAAAAAGTAAAAAACTAACTTGATACATAAAAAATTTACTTGCCATTACGATATATAAAAATATTTTTTAAGAGAAAGTAATCTATATCCCCGATAATGTAAAATAAAATAAAATAAAATTACACTATCTTTCAATCAAACTTCTTCTTGTATAATAAATTTAATGACTTTAATAAAATTTATCTAAAACTCGTCCATATCATATTTTGAAATTAGTTAGATTGTTTTTTTTTTGAAATTAGTTTTTCATTTATTATTAGGGGAGTGTAATAATTATGAATTGTTAAAGTAAAAAAAAAAGTATATCGTTAATCAACCATTAATTACATAATATAATTTTGTGATAATTATTGTAAAAATGTCAACAAATTTACTATATAAAATAATTTTGTGATTTAATAATTATGTAAATTTTACATTATTAATATATAACTTTTTTTTCTCTTATTACATGGTTCTTTTTAATTAGTAATTACAAAATATTTATCAGCTTTGTCTATAATTAATATTTGTTAGAAAATTTTGGTGATTATTTTTAGTGGAATCATCCTCCTAATCACATTTTTTTAATTTATAATACTCAAACATGAGACTTTAGTCAATGTGATCAAAATAAAAAGTGATACATAAAATTAGCTAAAAAATGTTTAGGATTGACACATGCTACAATTCCTTACTTTTGTACCCAAAAGTTGATAAGTAACATTCTTTATTAGATTAAAAAAAAATAACTATTTAGTAAAACATAATGCACCAATAGACACATTTTCACAAAAGAAAGCAAGACAAAGAAGTTAATGAGTATAACTCAAGGATTTAAAACGTTCATCTTCATATGATGCTTATATATAAAGAAGCATGAACAAACTTAGAGAAAAATAAACACGAATACTTCATTCTTTATTCTTTCTTTGAAAAGCTATTTTTTGTACCATATTATTTATCATATCTTGTATGTACAATAATTTTTTATTTATTATTATTCAACTTAAACTTTTGTGTTTTAACTTAAAGCTTTAAAAGACTTTTTTCTATTAAAAAAATACTTGGTGTTTAAGTTTGAAAATATTTTATTGTTCAAAAAATAATTGAGAAGTTTGTTTGAAGTGACAAATTAAAGAACATTTAAATTGAGTCAGTAGTGACTTGTATAAAGAATATTTACATATTTGTAAAATATAGTGAAACTTGACAAAAAAAAATTGAACATAATATTGATAGTTAAAACAAACTAATATAAAAACACATTATGTTATTTATTTTACTTCATCAACACCCTTTAGTTTACATATCTTACTTTATTGCACCCTTCAATTCATATGTCTACTTTACTATACCCTTCATCAATTCATGTGTTTGTCTTAACTCTAAATAACACATGATTTCAAATAAATTGTAAAATTGTACTTATACATTCAAAAATAAGGTGTCAAGTAAATTTGTGTTTTGTCATCCTAAATCTTATTCCCCAAGTATGTGTGGATATTACTTGGTTTATCCCCAACGGAAATGGATCCTCTGACTTTATGGAGGGAAAGTTATGGTAACTTAATGCATTTAAACTGTTAGATTTGTAATAATAGATCAAATTGTGACACGTGTACATTTAAGTCAAAATATATATTCTACACGTGTCACAATCTGATTCATTTTTATAAATTTAACGGTTTAAATGTATTAAGTTACCGTAACTTTCATGTTTTAAAGTTAGAGAATCTGAATCCATCCCCAATACTTTGAATGGTAAAAGAGCCAATAAATTCATATCCAAGTGTAATGTAGAGGAGATGCATACACATTGATATTGAAATAAATGTTAGAAAAATAGTTTAATACCAAAGCACTTAATTGATTTACAAAAATAAATGTACACTTACATCAATCATTACTATACTACTAATATGCAAAACAATTCAATTCATGCAAACCCTAAAAGAAATATCCCGTTAACATTTGTAATTAAAATAGGATAGTTGTGATCCAAATTTCAACTTTATCTATATAAGGTTCCTGTCGATGTTCATATCCACTACACTCAAATTAACAACATCAATACAAATATATAATTGCAATCTAAACAACAAATTGAGTGAAAAAGACTATAAAATAATATAAAGATTTGAAAAGTAATTAAAAAAAAATTGCATAAAAAGACATAGCAAGTTCATTGCGTGCATGTCATCAACCATGAAACATGCATGTTGCATAAACATCAAACTACAACATTCCCTAACCTCAATTAGCCATAAATCAACTATACAATATCAAACCATAGCCAAATCAATAAATAAAGGCTAAATCAAAACGCAAAGAAAAACCGAGGGAACAATGTGAATATACAGGGAGCAAAACGCAAATCCACCACAAATAGTGCAAATAGGGAGGTCGCCAAAGTTCCTCAAAGGTAATTGGATAGTTGTAGAGGAGAGTTGGGTACACTTGGGGTTGAAGCGATCTCCCAACTAAAAAAGGTTGAACAAAGATTTGATAAGAACATAATTTCAACTCCCAAGATGTAAAGGGTACCTCTTATGTTGCGACGTAATGACAAGTTTGTAAAGTATTGTACACCAAAGATGCATGATATCATTTGGTCCCATCCATCACGGTAGTGAAATTCTAAAGGAAGGAGAGCATTATAAACTTCTGTGAACATCAAAGTTTGTTGCAAAATACAATGAAAATCAAGATTCTGATGAAGTGACAATAGTTTTGCTTAAAAGAATAGAAGATAACTTGGAAGAATTGAAGAAAGAGTTTGCGGATGACATAATATTGGAAATAGAGACGTGTGATGATAATGACCTTGTTTGGATGTTGTTTGTGAATGGATGCTCTTTGCTTCATTTCATGAAAAATATTGATGTCGAGTGTCCAGAAGCACTAAATCTTAAGCTTAATTTTGCACTTAATTTTTAATTTTAATATATTACAAACAATCATATTTATTACATTTAGTTTATTCCTTTTATCATAATTTAATTTTTATTGTATTTAATTTTATTCTTACATTTAATTTTGTTAATTTTTTTAATATTGTATTTTTTTAAAATATATTATAATTTACTTATAATGTATTTTAATACCTAACTTTTAATGCTACTTTTAAGTATCAATTTATTAATTTTAATTAATTGTAATATAATTATTTATTTTTATGTGTAACAAGTAGTAATTTTGTCATAAAAGTAATATATTGAAGAAAAAAAATTATAAGCGTTTCATTAAATTATATTTTTAAAATATAATGTTATAAATAAATTGGTTAACTGAAAAGTAAGAATAATATTAAAAAAATATTTTTCATATTATATTAAAAAAAATAAAATATAAAATTACATGTAATTTTTCTTACTTATATTAAACAATAAATATATTACTTAATTAAATTATGCACAAAAATAATTTAATTATCTTAATTTAAAATATTATCTGTTATCTTAATTAATATTCTATATTTTTTTATTTATTTTAGAAATAATTTAATTAGAGCTAGTAATAAAGACTAAAAGATAACAATAAGAAAATCGTAAGAATCTAAAATTAAAAAAAAAATTACAGAGAATAAAAAAAGACAGAATGATATTGATCATAGAGATGAAAACATATTTGAGCTTAAATTTTTTTACTTATTATTTTATCCGTCATTATGATTTATGATTAATTTGCTACTTTATTATTTTCTTTTTCATGTATTGATGTATATTTTACTCTTTTTTGTCTTTTGCAATTTGTATCCCCCTTTCTCTGGAATTATTAGCTCGAATTTGGTTAAGTTCCCCTATCACTTTCTTTTACATATGACCATCATTTTTTTTAATGTTGAATCGAATAATAAGAAGTATAATACGATGAATTTGATATAGAAAATTATTAAAATGGTTCAAAAAGGAGAAAATAAAATAATGATATTTAAAGATTTTGTGAGGTGAAAGATTGAAGTTTTAAACAAGGAAAAATATAAGTCTAATTTTTATTTTTAGATGAAATGTGTGATGTTTTGATTAGTGAGTTTTAAGTAGAAAATGATTCGATATAGGTTCAATTTATAGATATTTTCAACAACAACCAAAAAATGATATAAAGATTTTGGAATTAAAAAAAATTGAAGGCAGGATTGTAAAACTTGAGAAATTCATGAATTAATTTTGAAAGAAAAAATATCAAGACAATAAAATTACATAGTGAGATCGTAGTAAAAAACAATCAATAGTAGAATTTATTCTTAGTGATTCATATATAAAAAAAATGGGAATAAAGAAAGGAAAAAAGAGAAGGTAAGATTAATGGTGAGTATTTTCCCTTTTATTTGATTTTTATGTTGTGCCTCTAATTTATATATAACATTTGTATTTGTATTAGATAGTTCTGGAATATATACAAGGAATCTTAGCAAAAATTTTGGAGATCAGCCAACTCTTCAATAATGAGCAGGAAATTAGATAAGCTTGCCCAACTAAAAAAGGTTGAACAAAGATTTGATAAGAACATAATTTCAACTCCCAAGATGTAAAGGGTACCTCTTATGTTGCGACGTAATGACAAGTTTGTAAAGTATTGTACACCAAAGATGCATGATATCATTTGGTCCCATCCATCACGGTAGTGAAATTCTAAAGGAAGGAGAGCATTATAAACTTCTGTGAACATCAAAGTTTGTTGCAAAATACAATGAAAATCAAGATTCTGATGAAGTGACAATAGTTTTGCTTAAAAGAATAGAAGATAACTTGGAAGAATTGAAGAAAGAGTTTGCGGATGACATAATATTGGAAATAGAGACGTGTGATGATAATGACCTTGTTTGGATGTTGTTTGTGAATGGATGCTCTTTGCTTCATTTCATGAAAAATATTGATGTCGAGTGTCCAGAAGCACTAAATCTTAAGCTTCACCAACTATTGCAAATTCAGAGAGATACAATTTTGTTGGAAAACCAACTTCCAAGGAGATTACTTGAGATGCTAAGTAAAGAGGAAGGACCCAAATTGGAATTTTTATTTTCTAATCATGCTGACTTTGGTCAATCCAAACATAGGGACACAATGAGTGTCTCTGTCAAAAATCCTAATCCAATTCATTTACTTGATTATTATCGCTCAGAATACCTGTCACCCGAAAGGGAGATCAATATTCAAATGGGGATAAATACAATCCAAAACCAGCAAGATGATGATAATGAAGACAACAATTTTCAAATAGACCCAAAAACTGGTAATTGGTTTACTTATAAGAACGTACGAGATCTAAAAAGAGCAGGGATTCAGATGATACCGAATTCCTCAGCAAAAAGTCCATATGCATGGAATGAGGTTCATTTCAAATCTAAGTGGTTTAGTGGGGAATTGAGACTTCCAATATTTAATTTCTATGATAACACACTATTTTTTTCGAAACCTGATAGCGTATGAGATGTGTCCAGATGTTCTTAGCAAATATGAATGTTGCTCGTTCATTTCCTTCATGGATTCATTGATTGACAATGGTGAAGATGTGAAGGAGCTGAGATTAAGTGGTGTATTTAGAAATTTGCTCGGAAGCGACGAAGACTTGGCCAATCTCCTCAATGAATTGGGTGCTGATCTGCCAACTAAAATATATTCTGACTGCTGGTGTCTCGATAATGTTGTGGCCTTCAGCAAGAAATATGTTGCTGTTAAGCAGCAAATTGAAAAGCATTACAGAACTAAGTGGAAGACATGGTTAAAAGAAAAAGGGTGGGAACCACCCTAGGGAGCCTTTCCCCATCATCACTGGCTACGAATGGGTTAGGGGTGACGTCGGAGAGTTCCACAGCATATTTTACATCGATTCTAATTTTATCAGATTCTATGTCAATTAAAATACAATTGATTTCAAAAAGATTTCATCTGTTTATAAAAATGTCACTACCTTTTTTCATAACAATTTTAATTAAACCAACATAAAAGTCTATCATAAATTCTGATTTTTGCGCTAGTGCAAGCTTTAAAGTTGTGTTAGTAGCTCAGAGACTAAACTATCATAAGTTTTTATTTAAAATTGTTATATTTTATTAGTTTTTAACTTCTACAAACACATGTTGAACCTTCTCTATATATCAAACATCTTATTGACTTAATCTAATAGAATTCTAATTGTATATTAAAAAAAATCCTCCATTTAAACTTATGATATGTGATTGTATCGAGGTAAATGTTATTTACTAAAAAGATAACAAAAATAAATAATTATCTTTTAAAAGTAAATCAAATACATACTTGATCGTCAATTTTTTTACGACAAATATTTTTTCAAATTATTTAATATTATACGTCAGATTTTTGTACATTTATATTTTCTTTTTCATGATCACTGATTTCTTAAGTTAAGAAAATTAGAAACAAGTTGAAAAATGAAATGTATTATGTATAATGTTATGTACTTAACTGGAAGCATGCACGGGGATGTAGCTCAGATGGTAGAGCGCTCGCTTAGCATGCGAGAGGTACGGGGATCGATGCCCCGCATCTCCATTTTTATTTTTATTTTTCCATTCCTTTTACGCTATTACAGTATTACCCCCTACTGGCTACTCTCTCTTCCTCGTACTTGTTCATGATTCATGGAAGACAACTTCAATGTCACTTCTCAAGGCCACAACCCTTCTTCCCAAATCTTCTTCCACTACCACACTGCATTCTTTACAATGTGGAACCTTGCTCCAATCTCTCACCAACTCCAAATCCTTAACCCAAGCCCAACAACTCCATGCCCACGTCATCACCGCCGGCACTCTCCGCCGCAACACCTACCTCGCCACCAAGCTCTCCGCCTGCTACGCCGCTTGCGGCCACATGCCACACGCCCAACTCATCTTCGACGAAATTGTCCTAAAAAACTCGTTTTTATGGAACTCCATGATCAGGGGCTACGCCTGCAACAACTTTCCCTCGAGGTCCCTTGTTCTCTACCGTGAAATGCTGCGGTATGGACAAAAGCCCGATAATTTCACCTACCCTTTTGTCCTCAAGGCCTGTGGGGACCTTGTGCTTCGTGAAACTGGTAGAAAGGTTCACGCTTTGGTGGTGGTTTGTGGTTTGGTGGAGGATGTTTACGTGGGCAACTCGCTACTGTTGATGTACTTCAAGTTTGGTGACGTGGCAGCTGCGCGGGTGGCGTTTGATAAAATGCCTGTGAGGGATTTGACTTCTTGGAACACCATGGTATCGGGGTGTGTGAAGAATGGTGAGGCAAGGGGTGCTTTTGAGGTTTGGGGGCACATGAGGCGGGATGGTTTTGTGGTAGATGGGACTACTTTGCTTGCACTTCTATCTGCTTGTGGGGATGTTATGGATTTAAAGGTGGGGAAAGAAATTCATGGGTATGTTGTTAGGAATGGTGGGGATGGGAGAGTGCATAATGGGTTTTTGATGAATTCAATTATTGACATGTACTGCAATTCTGAGTCTATATCTTGTGCAAGGAAGTTGTTTGAGGGGTTGAGAGTGAAGGATGTTGTGTCGTGGAATTCTTTGATTTCTGGGTATGAGAAGTGCGGGGATGCTTTTGAAGTTCTTGAGCTTTTCGGTCGAATGGTTGCAGGAGGTGCGGTGCCTGATGAGGTGACTGTGATTTCTGTGCTTGGGGCTTGTAATCAAATCTCGGCATTGCGATTGGGAGCGTCTGTTCACTCATATGTTGCTAAGAGGGGCTATGGAGTGAATGTTGCTGTGGGAACTGCGCTTGTTGGCATGTATGCTAACTGTGGAAGTTTAATTTGTGCTTGTCGCATGTTTGATGAGATGCCTGAGAAAAATTTGGCTGCTTCGACGGTTATGGTTACTGGGTTTGGAATTCATGGGAGGGGAAGAGAGGCCATATCTGTTTTTTATGAAATGCTAGGTAAAAATGTGACTCCTGATGAGGGCATTTTCACTGCAGTTTTGTCGGCTTGCAGTCATTCTGGATTAGTGGATGAGGGTAAAGAGATTTTCTATAAAATGACTAAAGATTGTAATGTGGAGCCCGGACCCACTCATTATTCATGTTTAGTGGATCTACTTGGCAGAGCAGGGTACATAGATGAAGCATATGCAGTTATAGAGAATATGAAGTTGAAACCTAATGAGGATGTATGGACTTCTCTTCTTTCTGCTTGCAGATTACATCGGAATGTCAAGTTAGCAGTGATCTCGGCACAAAAGCTTTTTGAAATGAATCCAAATAGAGTGAGTGGTTATGTTTGTCTTTCCAACATCTATGCTGCTGAGAGACTGTGGAAGGATGTTGAAAATGTGAGGGCATTGGTGAAAAAGAGGAGATTGAGGAAGCCACCTAGTTACAGTTTTGTTGAGCTAAATAACATGGTTCATCAATTTTTTGTTGGGGATACTTCCCACCAACAGTCGGATGATATTTATGCTAAATTGGAAGACTTGAATGAGCAGCTGAAGAAAGCTGGATACAAGCCTGACACTAGTTCAGTTCTGTACGATGTTGAGGAAGAAATAAAAGAGAAGATGCTTTGGGATCATAGCGAGAGGTTGGCGCTTGCTTTTGCTCTTATTAACACTGGTCCAGGGACCACAATCAGAATAACCAAGAATCTTCGTGTGTGTGGAGATTGCCACACAGTTATAAAAATGATTTCTAAGCTCACAAATCGGGAGATTATCATGCGAGATATTTGTAGATTTCACCATTTTAGGGATGGCTTATGCTCATGTGGTGGATATTGGTGAGCCGATGGAAGTTTGATAAAATAGTTGGTAAAATGATGAAAATACAAGATTTTTACTTGATGGAAATTTGATAGCAAGAAAAATAAGCTACCGTATAGAAAGTTGCTGATTTTTTATCTGACACGAATAGACATATCTTAGAATGTTTGGAATTGGTACAATGTGGCATCATCATTACCGTTGCAGATGGAACAGACTATATCCGTTATCTGAAGAGGCTTGCTATGCCTGAAGTGCCCCAATATTAGGAGATGCTTTCTCATTATATGACAAGTCCTAGTTCCCAGTACTTGTACACAAGAAGTCAATTCCCTCCTGGCTGTTGTACCAAGCCTGTCAAACTCACATTCAACAAGACACCATGCCTTAACATACTAACCCTTTTGTCTTGGGCTCAAATAGATGGATATATTAATTTACTATATCATTTTCTAGATGTGTTCCTCTGAAAATCCTAACAGACATGGCCAAGTAAGTTCTCTGATAGTTGTTGTTTTGTTTTTTCCACAGAAACTTAGTTTTCTTTTGGTGGCTTATTCTATTTTAACAGGAAATAAAATGAAACAATGTGACATTTTGTAAATGTTTTTGAAAGTCGAAAACGAAAATAGGAAGCATGTTCAGAGACTAAATGCTTCCCAAGTATAGTACCTGATTATGGTGACTACTGAGATGGAAAGAGGGAAGAATTGAAGGACTTCAGAATACAAGAGAAATGTTGGAAAGAACAGAGGGGAGAAATAGGAAGAAGTTAAAGAATGCAATGAAAGGAGAACTAAAATAAGATGATAATTAAACATTAAAATGAAATGTAGCTAAGAAATTCAATTACATATACAAGATAAGTGGAATCAAACTTACATAATGGATTGCAAATTTGCAATTGAACATGAGTCAGGAGTAGACCATGTTCCACTTCCATGACCTTGCAGCTCAAAATCATTCTGTCCCCATACCTTCACCAACCCAGAAATTTTTACCTGATAGTTTTCTGCAAATGAACGTGAAGCTTTTATTTATAGTCATGTAGTTTTAGTTCTCAAGCAAAAAACTTGAGTAATACAAGGAATTTAAGAAAACCCAAATTCCATAAAACTTAATTGTGTGTTGTGTTATCGCATAGGTGTGTCAAAGAAATCGCTAATAATGTCAAAAAAAAGTTTACTTGCATTTAGTTAGAATCTGTCTAAAGAAGTTGATTATTCATGTATACCAACATATTTATTCCTCTCATATGTTAGATATTTCATTATTTCTAAATCTATTTGTCATGGAAGGCTAAAATGTGATTGGATATTCCCCCGTAAACGAGATACTGTGATATAATTTACAGTCATTCGATTTGGGTCTATAACTTTTTAAAGGTGAAGAGTTTGTTTTCACTTCATATAATGCCATGATTTGGTTCAATTCGATAATATGCTATGTGAGCAAGTTTCACCATTTTAGAGATAGAGATTTTCATGTTGCGATAATCAGAATTGCTGCAAGTTCGATAAAATAGTTCATGTACTTCATAGATAGGAATAACCACATAAAAGGTACACACGAGTACTGTCTAGATGTTTAGACATTGCTACATTATGGCATTATTATTAGCATTCAAGATGTGGGTGGCTGGGAAATTTATTTATATAATGGTATATATTATTTCCAGCCGATTCTTTAATTAGTCTTGGCTCCATATTAGGGAATCAACCATCAACTTTCATGTCTGTCTCTGAAAGCCAGGGGAATGGTGGCATTGGTTTAGTCGCTTCAAGAAGAACCTCTATTGGAATCTTTGGTGCCGATGGCTTCAATGGTGTTATGGCATGATTGTACTTTTGAGGGTTGGCACAGTAATCCTGCAATTTGAGGGGAAAGGGTTAGGAGGCAACAAGGTAATCATGAAACTGAAGAAAGTTAAAGAATATTATCTTTTAAGGCCACGCATAATGGCTACTCACTTGATCTGCATGCATCTTTAGCACAAATTTTTTAAATATGTCAAAATTTGATTCATGCAGTAGATCATCTGATAGACGGAGGTACGTTACTCCGAACATCCTTAGTGTTGGAGGACCATTTTTGTTGACACCTTGTGGTCTTGCATTCAGTATGATTTGGTTGTAAGCTGTGGCATCATACCGTGGAAGTGCATTTTCTCCAGCAACTTGGATATTTTCTCTCCAACCTCCACTTAATACCTGTGCATATGTTCATGTTTGGCAATTTAACCTCTATAATACAGCATTTACACTTGGCATCATCTTTAATAAGCAGAGCAAATATTAAACTAAAGAAATTTGTAATGCATTACCTGCTGAAAAAGCTCCTGTGGTCCACTTTTGGCAT